TTCACTACATTTAGCTTCAAGTCAATCGAGGGGTATTGTCTCCACCACCAACAATTCCTCCACAAACTGATGCATTTTATATTGTTGAGGATGCTCTTACTGTCAGTCATGATATTGATAATTTTGATAGCCCATCTGCAGTTTAGCTATTCGATATGTGATAATAATTAAAATTTAATAATATAATAATGATTAAATTGAACAATAATGGTACAATAATGATCAAATTGATATTATTTTATTTAATCGAACTAAAGTTCTGAAAAAAAAACTGTTTTATTTAAAATAATTAAAATTCTGTTTTCTTTAGATAATGAATATTAATATACTTCATTTGCTATTCATTTTGCGTTAATTTTCAGAGACTTATACAGACAAACATTTTCTGTTAAATATACAACGTATTTAATCATAAAAAGTCCAGTATTTTCAGAAATCTGGCTTTCCTAAGGTCTGGCGGTTGCCTCAGTTTTGAATGTTAATCTGTATAATTGTGTTGTTCGAACAAAGTGGTCAAACAGGATCCTGACGCTAGTACTTCAAATTAAAAATTTTATGGAAATGCGGTAGATAATTTAATAAAATATTTTCAGAGGTGGAGCTGAGGTAGGTTTTTTTTTTTTTTTTTTTTTTTTTTTTTTTAATAAACACCGCATTTAAATTTTTAGAAGATCCAATTAGAGAAAAAAAAGACGGTTTATTAAAGTAGCTATTATGCTTCAATAAATTAAATAAGCAATCAACTTTGCATAACATTTCATGTGCAAAACTGGGGAAGTTATTTATGTTTTCAAAACCACGAGTATAAAATTAATAGGGTTAGTTTACTCACTTTAGCATCCAGTTTTGATCACTTTAGCAATTACACATTAATTGCTAAAGTGATCAAATTTTGTTTCGTTGTTTTTTCCTAAATCTTCAGAAAACTGGTAAAAGATAATGAGAAATAATCTAGGTTAGTAAAGTCGTTTTTTAATATATCCAGGAATTTTGTACGTAAACGTGTAGTTTTTTTACTTACTTTTATCTGATAAGAAAATAATGAACTTTTTGCAAACTGAACTTTTTCGTGCACTAGTTAAAGAAATAAATAGTTAAATTTGATATTTACAGAAACTTCCTACCTGTTCTTTGCATAAAATTCTTACAAAAATCTGTTCCTTCAAGTATTTTTAGCCCTTTGCCCCTTTGGACTCCTCGGAAGTACTATTAATTTCGTTTTGACAATTTGCGTTGATTCACTATAAACGGCGAATCACCTTCTAAATTGTTGCCACCAAACATTAGAGCCCTGTATTATATTTAAAGAAATTAAATAATGAAAAATCTGCATAAATGTATGCATGTTTCTCGCATTGTGATAACACAACGTACTTAGAGCCATCCAGTTATGAATAACGTACTTTTCCACCCGAATATGGGCATCTGGGGGCCCAAATTTGGAATTTGTTTTATTATCGATATCATATTTTGTAAAACTTTAACGAATTTTTGATTAACAAACTCAACGATTTCAAATCGAGCAATGGCAACACTCTACGGAAAAAACAAATATCCAGCGCACGAGATTGTGAATCGGAAATTCTAAAGATATGTTCTTTTAAATATTTTGTGATATTGCTGTTGATTTGAATTTTATTGTTTAAGCGCAAAAAACATTATATTTAATAAGGTAACATGCAAAACATTAAAAAAACGCCCCTTTGGGAGTAATGTAAAATCTGAAAGCTTTTTTTTTTTTTTTAATTTCTTATTTCTATAAGACTCTTCAAAGCTGAAATTGTCATATATTTTTATTTTTCGTTACTTCTGAATATTTAAAATTATGCGGAATTTATGACGATTTCTGTGCAACCATTGTTATGCCATTTTATTCCATTATTATTCTTTATGCTATTTATTTATTATAACCATTTTATTCCGTGATTTTTTTAAGCAATGTAAAAATGCCGGAAATACAGAGGATACTAAATTCATATGAAAATTTAATATTTGTTTCAATGAAATTTACCATTATTTTGTTGTTGTTTATAAGTATTTAACAGTAGTGTACCAAACGCTCTCTTATTTCAAGAATTTGCAGTAGACTTTCTGATGGTCTTACGGATTTTTTTCATAATTGGAAATCTTCTTTTAGAAGGATTCTTGTAGTGCTGAATAAATAATATTCATTTTACTATTGTGAAATTTAGGCAAGATTTTCGGGGAAATTAATAAACTGCTCCATTGGTATAACAAATTTATGAATTACTTACCTTAGGTTACCGTATTTCTTTTGCTACTAGAATCAGAAGGATGATTTTCTTTTGTTTAATGATAATTATATCCTTTCTCTGTTACTTTCATTTTGTTTACCATATTTAAATATTTTTTTAAACAATGTTAACAGTTTCTGTATCTAAATTTTAATTTTTACATTGGCATAGCCTACCTGATACGGTAAAATGTTTAAAAGTAATTCTGCTTGTTTTAATATAATAAAACTAAAATTAAAGATCTTATATAAAATGGAATTTTCATTGCAATATATTGTATATAAGAGTATTAAAGAGTATAAAAATGAAAGTATGGGAAAATTTGTTATCTTTGTTCTATTTTCATATGCTTTAATTAATTTAACTTGAATTCTACATTTACCTGTTCTTTAGTTGCTTTGCGTGAAAAATTTAAATTAATACACTGCTGGCCATTAAATTTTCTACCATAATTTCATCATTGGTCGCATAAGTATAGTCTCGCCGCACTTACTAAGTTGCAATTCCGTCCCCGTTTTGAGGAAGAACACCCTGAAGACAGTCCTAGAGCTTTCCACTTCTCTTTGTCTATTACCAACCTCTCCAGAGGACTTCCAGCTAGCCGTGTATTTTGAGCGTCCTTGTCGTATAGACACTGTACGCTTACAAACATCCATGCCTTTTCTTCGATTCAAACCCGCACCCATTGGTACGCAGTCAACGTCACTAATCATCATACCAGAGGGGTAGCTAAATTGCTGCAACATAAAGGCCGCAGGGAGGAAGGTCGAGAACGTTTTTGTTTATAATTAAATAAAACCTTAAAGATATTTTACTAATCAGAAAATTTATTCAGCGAAAAATTTATTCTATTTGCTGAAACACGCATTCTATTATTTTTACTATTACTCAAATTTTTCAACGCGTTTTTTCGAGCATTGCCCAGAGGGCGGTAATCGGCTCTCAACTCATTCTTTGACAAAGAACGTCCCCTCATATCTCATCAGAAGGCTACCGATAAGCGATGTCGACCCCGCTGTGATTCACTAAAGTAGATCCTCCAAATGAAAAGTGACACTTTTATTAATAAAGGCAAGACAGGTGTAATTATTGTATTCCTAAAGCAGCATGCATTTTTTTTTCTTTTATGGCTAAAACATTGTAATTGGTTCATTAGATAACTAAGTTCATGATAATTCCTAGTATCCTGCATAAAAGCTGTACAACGGAAAGAAAATATGATTGCTTTATGATTGATATTAAGGAAGCGATAGTATATCTTGCTGTTCGAAACGTTCGTGTGAAAGTATTATCATGTGCGGAAAGTTTTCAATAATTGAATTTGGCTATTAGATGGCGTGCATGATTAGCATTGGCTAGTGGAAAAAAATGCAGGAAGTGAGGAAGGCCGTGACAACGTAGTTTGTGTTGCAGTGCAAACGAGATTAAATTATTTTCCAAGACTTTGCTCATCACCTTTCGAGCAAAGGAAATTAGAGTAAAATACTTTGAGTTTCATTGATCCCAAACAAAACCCTGCCAATCTAAACTTTCTTATCTGCTAGATTTCTCTCCTCTGACCCAACTATTGTCTCTTATTCAAACGGTTCTACGTTTTCAAAAAATCCAAGCAACATGAGAAGACGCGACGATCATTCAGTGACAGATGTCAACTAAGACATTATGCTAATGGTTCCAGGAATATAAGGAGCGCTAAAGAAACTGTGTGAGCTTCCGTGGTGTCTAATTCGAAAAAAGACAGACAATATTTTTTACATTTCAATTAGAACTGTCATCGAGATATGTTTTGCGAAATTTTTTAACATGTAGCAGGTGTTCTAGAGTTCTATACTCTAAGTTTAGGAGTATATTCTTTGAGGTAAATTGTTTTGAGAAAAAGATGCTGCGAATTGGTTGAAGCAGCACGGAAAAGAATTATTCAATTATTTTAATGGTGGTCGTTATGATGATGATGATGACGATGACTATGACGGCTATGATGGACTATGATGAAATTAATACTTTTAGTAGTAAAAATTTATCTTAATCATAACATTTCTGATGCGAATTAAATTTTCATGATATGTTTTCTAAAACTTAATGTTCAGAAAATTAAAACCCTACCATGTGTGTTCCTTTATATAAACTCATCTATGATAATACATTTATGTATATTTGAAGTTATGTCAAGTACAAATATTGTTCATCTCTATTCGCATCTGAAAAAAGATGACTAGAATAAGTATGTATCCATTTATAAATGTTCATATACTAATAGTTCGTATCCTTTTATGAAATAATAGTCTTAAGTGATTTTCATTCAATTCCTTATAGTTGAGTATGACTATTAATTTATGAACAGAGATGTACTCGTGTGTATCAACTGCAAATAGTAATTAATCTCTGTTTGCATTTGATAAACACGATGATTTTCTCATTTTTATTTTTCCTTATCTATCTTCATACAACGCATAAAAATCAACTTAGTAAGAGAAACATGTTATTAAAATAACCTATTCTTATTCAAAAGATCATTTATCTGATTTCATTTTATATTTTCTTCTATTGTTTCTGACATTATTTTTAGTTTGGTTTGAGTGTATCTGTAAATTAAATATAAAAAATATTTAAAACTTTTTTTCTCTATCTTCTATTATGAAATTTGAGATATTATTAGATGGTGCTTATTAAACTCAATTACATCAATTTTTGTTGATCAATTTCTTAAACTCAATCCAATTTTATTCCTCCATGTGCTTCGCTTACCTCAATCTGAACTACTGCTTTGGCATGTCCTTTGAAAATTCTTTTGCATTCTCCTGTCTTTGCTTTGAACATCCTGCTGGAAGTATCCGCACATCCTGTGTAAACTGTAGAAAGATTAAAAGTTTCATATTTAATCAACGTAGATTAGGTACACTACCTTGTGTTAATATTTTTCATATACGTAAATGTACGCATAATGAAAGACATCAAAATGACAAATATCAAATTGAGATAAGTTTTCAATAAGAATGTGTCATTGCACAATGACAAAAGAAGACAAACGTTTGCCCCCTCTAAAAGAAAAGAATACCTTAATTGTCCCTTTTCAATTAGATAAATTACATATTAAATTTCGAGTTTCATACTTCAAAAGATTCTAAACAGATTCTGCAGCGGTGTCCGAATTAAAAGGTGGTAGAAGACGATTCTTCACCACCAATATTTGGTGACTGGGTTCCTTAATCCCCAGTCGCCCTTTGAAAGGGGGAGTACATAAAGTTTTTTCTCTCTCATTTCTGCATGCCTTCGAGGTGTAACGGAAGTACACTCAGTGCATATTCGAGAGGTCCAGGTTCAAGTCCTAAAAGGGCACTGCCCATTTTTCACGTCTCCAGCTTCAAAAAATAACCTAATAGCTCTACAACTCTAAACATGGCGCCCGAAGTGAATGAAGTGAACAACAATTCACCGGGTTTAGAAGAATGGGTCTATTTCTAACCAGTCAGTCTTTAAATGAGAAAGAGAATGTAAGTCATTTAATCCTTCTTTCCCACACGCCTTCGTGGTGAAAGTGACGGCATGCCCGACTGACAAACGGAAAAGTTTTGTTTCAAATATCACGAAAGGTACTTGTGATTTTTCACATACTTGCTTTGAAAAGTCTAATTCCTCTACAGTTTGATCGAACAACTGCTCTGAGTTTTGAGTTTTCTAGCATTACATTTTATAAGTAAGCTACCCGGCATTGAAAATATAACAGCAAGAAGGGTCGGCCAGAAAGTGATGAAACTCGACAAACGGAGCGAGATAGTAATGAACAATAAGTGATCTTTATTTCGAAATAATGTGTATAATACAGAGAGATAACAGCGTCAGCTTAGTAGGCTGTAGGACCACACTGTACGGCGAACACGAAGAACCACGTCTAGGTACAGAGTCAATGAGACTACGGATGGTGTCCTGAGAAATGGCTCTCAATTCCCTGTCAACCATTTGCCACAATTTGTCTCCTGAACGCGGTAATGGCAGGGTCTGCAAATAGTGTCCAATCAATGTGTTCGATTGGTGAAAGATCGGGAGAGAACGATGGCCAGGTAAGCATCTATACACCTTGCAAAGTATGTTGGCTGATGTGAGCTGTGTGTGATCTGGCGTTATCCTGCTGATAAAGGGCACTGGGCATTCCTTGAAGGTAAGGGAGTATCACCGGCCGCAGCATATCATCCATATATCGTTGGGCCGTCATAGTGCCCTGAATACGAACTATAGGTGAACTGGAATCGTACGCAATTGCGCCCCAAACGATGATGCCGCGTTGTCGTGCAGTGGGACGTTCCACAACTGCTGCCGGATTGGACCTGTCTCCACATCGACGCCACACTCGTACGCGGCGACTATTATTGGAGAAACAGAAGCCTGAACTCCTCTGAGAACACAACTTTGTGCCATTCCATCGTCCACATCGCTCGAGCCGTTGCAGACGTTGGCGTCTATGATATGGGGTCAAGGGCAGTCTTCTTAACGGACGTCACGAGTGAATGCCACTAGCCAATCGACTGCAAATGGTTTTTGTCGATATGAGAACTTCCAGGGTTCTTGAACTTGCTGCAGAATGGCGGTAGAAGTGACTTGCGGGTTCGTCACTGCTTCGGCGGATGCGTCGACCCACGGTTCCTGACGTCACTCTGGCTGCACCGGTAGCGTAATGGCAGACCGCACATTGAGTTGAACAATGTTAAGCAAATTTCGCTTACTGCGCATGCTTGATGGTGTACCTTTGGCGCGGGGAGAAATATTGGCGACTAAGCAACCCTACGCTAGCTTATTCGTGATCACCATGGCTGTCGAGTGTGTTCGAATGATGTTTACAACTGTAATGTTGTGGAACTTTGCTTATTAGTTATTTTAACGTCCATACCGATTGCACTTGCTTATTTTTCTAATATATATTTCATTGTAATTGTCAATAACAGTGCATTTAATATTTGTTAACATATGTTCGTAATAATTCGTTATTTAAATGTAATTTGTTTACATGTTATAATTCAGTAATTGTAAACTGGAGTATCTCGCTTAGTTTGTTAGCGTATATTCGCGCTTTTATTTCTCATTTCAAAGAATTTAATAACTAGCATTAAGGAATTGTTAAAATTTCTTCAGTGTTTTATTTGCAAGCACTTGTTATATTCCTCAGTTTCTTTATGTATGTACGAATGGAACGTATGGTAAATCCTGAATTGTTTTTATTGCTTAAAAGTATAATGAATAAATTTTCAACTAATATATCCTAAATTTCAGTCTTTTTCTGAACGAAAATTTGTACAGTTCCAAAGGTCCGTCGATGTGGAGACAGGTCCAATCCGGCAGCAGTTGTGGAACGTCCCACTGCACGACAACGCGGCATCATGTGCAAAATTTCATAGGTATTATATTTTACATTTTGAATGCAAACACTGCTTCAAATTACTTCGCAATAATTTCAGCTTTCTACTTGTTTGAGCAGTACAGCAAAAAATAGTATTTTAACACAGTAATTAATTTACATTTACATTATACTCTACGAAGATTTAAACGCCAGATTTGTTTACAATCAGATGGCGGTACATCTACCATATACCGTATTTATCTTCTTTTCAAATAGCGCCAACATAGTAATTACGCCAAATTGTTTTTTGGGCATGCGCAGTATGCGACATTCGTTTAACACTGTTCAACTCAATGTGCGGTCTGCCATTACGCGCACCGGTACCCCTCGCATTTGCAACATTTCCTTGTTCCAACCACCGTCGCCATAGCGGGTACACTGCGGACTTGTCCAGGTGTGTGTCAACTAAGATTTACTATATGGACCAACCTGCCCTTCTCAGTCCGATCACCATACCCCTGTATCGTCTGTCTGCTGGAACAGCCTCCGTTGACCACGACCTGGCATTCTCTGCTATTACACTATTACACGTGTTCTCTGAGGAAGAACAAATTTTCTGCGATGATTTCCCTAGTAGAAACAACAGCACTAAAATCGAACATTCTGCTTGTTCCTTCACTTATATCTTCTTCAACGTACGCTGGAGAGCTGTCCATTTCACATCATTCATCGGTGACGTGCGGTTACGCTGAAATTTGCGTAATTTTCAAGGCATTCCTTCATGGTGTTGCATTATCAGTGTCGGGTAGTGTAATTTGAGGATAGCTTTTCCATAAGACCTAGTCACATTTTTAGTAAACTATTATTAACCACTAAAACATTTTTAATAAACTATTATTAACTAAACATTTTTAATAAACTATTATTAACTAAACATTTTTAATAAACTATTATTAACTAAACATTTTTAATAAACTATTATTAACCACTAACTAATTAGCACTTTAAGATTTTTGTGTAATAAAGGATGTTAACAGTGTTAATACTCTCAACTAAATCTTATATTTTACAAACGAGTAGGTTACATAATAAGGGCTATTTATTTGTGTTTTAAAAGAAAAAATTCAAAGCATTCTAATCACATTGAAATATCAAGTAACTTACCATATCCATCATAATACTTGATGCATGTTACACTATGTGTATGTCCTCTGTAAACCTTTATACATTCTCCGTACTCCATTATCCATGCACGTGCGGTCTGATCTGTACTGCATGAGTACAACATTTTATTATGGGCCTGAAATCAGAAATAATTATGAATTATTATGAATGATTTAGAGAATAAATGCTGGATGACTTTATTATTTTTCACTCAAACGTTTCGAAAAATCATATTTATTACAGATTAAACATAATTTTGCAAAAACCACAAGATTAATTGAAATAATTATGTTTTTCTTTAAGTTAAATTTCTTACACTTCCCAAATGTTCTCGTGGACTCTTGGTTTTACATATTCGTACGGATTGTTAATATATTTCGTAAAATCATGAGTTTGTAAACTGGAAGTGCCATTTAAAAAAATGAAAATCGCAATTTGTTCTAGTTTTTATTAGTTATAACTTCAAGAAACCATACTAATTTTTTGGTTTGCTTCATAACTACACTTTCATTATTACACTTCGTATCTGCATGTTGAAATCCGTATTAAATTTGAGAAATTTCATCATCTTCTGTGAAATTCTTTAAAAAGGAAAGCAACAGAAAAAGAAAAATATTCGAGCTTATACTTTCCTTAAAGCATAATTTTGGTTTGTAAATGAAAGTGAAAATTAAAGTTGGTTCTATACGGTAATTTTCGGAATTAACGCGTTTCATTGTACGCAGAAGCAGTTTAGTGATAGGAAGTTCCTAAAAACGCACCTACGAGTTCATTACATATACTACACCCTTTTATTAACTTGCAAATTAGAGTTGCAACAGTCAGAGTCGATTCAAATTCATAATCTCTTATACGTCCAGAAATGAGAAAATGAATGAGATAATAACGGAGCTGATAACTTGTATCAACGCATTAATATTGAATCTGTGTCAAAGCAAAATTCAAATATATTATAAATTATGTTGTTTAATTAAATATTGGTGCGTTCTAAGGGCTCGTGGATTTGGAGTAATTGATGACAACACTTGAACAGTCAAAACACAATTTATTCGTCAGTATCACACAGAACTGTTCCAAAGACGCTTTATGGTCGTCTAAAAATTACGATAAACACGCTGAAACAATCAGCATCACATCCTTCAAGCTATCAAGCTATAGGGTATTTTCTTCCTCCATCTACCATGCCTTCGTGGTGTAACGGTTAGGACGAATGGCGCGTATTCGAGAAGTCCAGGTTCGAGTCCTGGCGAGGGCATTGTTTATTTTTCGTGTCCCCAGCATAAAAACTCCATATGACCCTACAGTGGCGCACGAACTAAAAGATGGTGAATGATAATCTTCAACACCGGAACTTGGTGATTGGGTCCCTTAACCCCCAGTCGCCTTTTAAAAGAGGTTACCTTTCTGCATGCTTTCGGCGTGTAACGGTAGCACACTCGGCCCGTATTCGAGAGGTCCAGGTTCAAGTCCCGGCGAGGGTATTGCACATTTTACACGTCTCCTGCTTCAAAATAACCTAATGACTCTAAAAGGCTATAATGGTGAAAACAACTAACTTCACGTCAAAGCACTAAAGTACAGCTCCCGACTCTGTCGAAGTTAATCTCAACTTAAGACACTACTATTGAACTCTACATTATCTTATACTCCGCGTACAGCAGCGTATATATAGCTTTTGACCTACCTTCGAGAGCACTCTGGAGAAAACCGCTAAGAATGCGTTCTAGAATGTTCTCGCTCAGTCTGTAGCATATCGCCAATTTTGTCTCCAAATGCGGCTAAATGGATGGTTACGCCCAAAATCTGGCAACTCTGCCTTTTCTTGCCGCTTTCTGGCAACCCTAATCACGATTTGTGCGGAAGCTGCCATGCCGCAGCTGGACATTTCGTGACATAAATCCACCATGACACGAAATTTTGATCACTCGCAATCTCCATTCTCTATGTAATCCTATATGGCAGCCAAAGAATGTAGTACGCAAGACCGCCTTAGCTGTAACTGAATCCCGCTATAAACGAACTCAAGGGACCTAAAGTTTGGTTCGTTACAGCCGATGGTTCATTGTATCTGATTTTATAAGGAAAAGAAAACAATCATCTCACAAAACATGATGATTACAAAAATTGTCTTGATATAGAAAGGGTTATTAGTATCGTTATACCTTCCAAAAGACGTTAATAGTATTTTTAACTTTAAAAAGTGTTAAAAGTTGATGCCAGTTATTATTACGTTTAATTAATGTATTTCTTCTCCCCTGTTTTGAAATTTCCCCATACGTTAATAATTTTACACGACAAATTACCTAAAAAAAAAAAAAAAAAAAAAAAAAAAAAAAAAAAAAAAAAAACCATGGTTTAGATTTATCCTTCCAATTACACATTTCCATCTAAAATACTCATTTATCATTATGAATAAGCATCCAAACCTTGAGTATAGTGTTAAGGAACTTTGTACCTCTTTCTTATACCTAATGCCTTATACCTCCTTCCCTACACCTTTCGGGATGTAATTGGAAAGTGCATATGGCTAGTATCGGAAAGTCTGGAGTTCGAGTCTCGGCTAAGGCATCGTTCCTTTTTCGTATTTCCTGCTTAAAAACGTAATAGACACTACACAGTTTCTTAATTGGCATAGTAACACTGATATATGTATTACCTATGAGTTAATATGCATGTCAATATGTATGAAAGCAAATGCAGCGTAGTGAAACGTATCCTAAATTAAGATACAGAAAATGAATTGGCAGTAAGAGCCATTATTCTTCGTTGCTCAAATTCCAGACTTTAAAAAAATAAATAAATAAAAGAAATAAATAAAAATAAAAACACCACCCTGAAAGCTTTCAGATTTTATACTGAGCCCAAACAACGGGGTTTTTTTTAGCCCAGAAATGCTTTATTTCATTTTGACATTTTGCGTCGAATCCCTATGAGCCGGCATATCACTGTGGAAATTGTTAATATTGTGATGCTTCTTTGGCAATATGAAGCAACTCCAATGATGGAACACAGCAATAACTTTTATTTAACACTAAAAAAAATGGCGACATACAAACAAGAAGAGAAAACATATTCTAACATTTAAAAATAAATTACATTCTTCGTGCGAGAGTCGCACGAGGCACTCGAGTCTGGTTTCAAATATTGCCATTCACAAATACCTTAATGTTCATCTATTTAAATTATTTAAACTACAAGATTTTAATATTATTTAAAGCTGTTACAATATTTAAAGCAATTAAATAATAATGAATCTGCATAAATTCTCGCACGGTGATAAAACAACGATACCTAGAGCCATCAAATTTTGAATAATGTAATTCTCCACGCGAATATGAGCATCTGGAAGTATAAATTTGGAATTTGTTTTATTATCTGTTTCATATTTTGTAAAGCATTTATGTGTTTTTGATTAAGAAACTTAACGATTTCAAAGCAGGCATTGGCAACACTGTACGGAGAAAATAAACATTTTTATCTCCAGGGCGTGAGACTGTGTATTAGAAATTCTAAAAGTATGCTCCTTTAAATATTTTGTGATATTGCTGTTGAATTGTATTTTATGGCTTAATTGCAAAGAACATAATATTTAATAAACAAAGGTAACACACAAAACCTTAAAAAAGCCTCTTTGGGCGTAATAAAAAATTTGAAAACTTTCAGATTTTTTATTTACTTCTTTTCCCCACTTTTTATTTATTTATTTATTTAAGAATACATAAACGTTTCGAGAGCGTTTGAGCTAATGCCACCTTCCGCTAAAAATATTTACAACCAGCATATCTAGAGTTCTTGTAGACAGTCTCACGCGCTAAAGTTAAAAATGTTTTATTCCCTACAGTTTTGCCACTCCTCGCGTTGAAACTGTTGAGTTAATTTAATCAAAAATTCGCTAAAGTTTTACATAATATGAAACAGATAATAAAGTAAAGTCGAAATTCGGGCTTCCAAATTCGGTGCGCATGTTCGTTTGGAGGACTATGTTATTCAAAATTTGATGACTTTATCATTTCTTTACTTTATTACTTATTTATTATGATTCCTTGCATAGTTTCTTTAAACATAATACAGGGCGATAATATTTGGTGGCAACAGACTAAAAAATGTTACATCGCATTTAAGTGATTCAACGCAAAATGCCGAGACCTATTGACGTCCCATTGAGCTTAGGAAAAAAAAACATCTCAAGGCTTGCAGATCATACATTACCCACAAAGCATTGTACGGCGTTTTTCTCATTTACATACACACACACGTTTCGAGAGTATTTGGGTTAATGTTCCTTTGAGCTTAAATTATTAAAAAACAGCCTATCTTTTAATTTCTGATAGTTAGTATCGCACATGTAGATAAAATTGCTTTTTTTTTTTTTTTTTTCGTACAATGCTGATATTGCTCGCTTTGAAATCATGGAGTTTGTTAATCAGAACGTCAATAACATTTCACAAAATATAAAATACACAATAAAACAAATTCGAAATTTCAAAATTCGTGCTTCCATGTACCCATATTCGGATGAAGGACTACGTTATTTAAAATTTGATTGTTCTAGGTACCGTTGTTTTTTCACAATGCGAAAAATAAATGCGTACATTGATGCAAATTCTTCATTATTTAATTTCTTTAAATATAATACAGCGCGGTAATATTTGGCGGTAACAATCTGAAAAGTGATTTGGACTTCTATAGTCGTTCAACGCAAAATCTCGTTTTGGAACTAACAGCCTTCTGTGTTAACGCTCGTTTTTTGCTAATAAAATAAAATAAAATGTGAAAAAATTCTGTAAGCTTTTAGATTTTATATTACGCCGATAAAGGGACGTTTCTTTCATGTACGCGTCTTGAAAGCATTTGGGCTATTACCAGGTTGGGCTAAAATATTTAAAAACAGCATATCTTTAGAATTCCCGATAGACAGTCCTACGCGCTGCAGATAAAAATGTTTTATTCTCTACAGTGTTACCACTGCTCGGTTTGAAATTGTTGAGTTTTTTAATCAAAAAATTGTTAAAATTTTACAAAATATGAAATAGACAATAAATCAGTTTCTAAATTCCAAATTCGGGTTTTCAGGTTTCATATTCGGTTGATGAACTACGCTATTCAAAATCTGAGGGCTTTTGGTATCGTTGTTTT